TATGAAAAACTTTGGTCGGCCATTGTGGCCCCGCCCTACCCCCGGGGTCATGATTTGAACAAACTTGAATCTACACTACCTGAGGATGCTTCCATATAAATATGATCAATTATGGCTTTGTGATTCTTGAGAAGAAGATTTTTAAAGAATTTTCCTATATATTTCTATGTAAAACTTTGGTCGGCCATTGTGGCCCCGTCCTACCCCCGGGGGTCATGATTTGAACAAACTTGAATCTACACTACCTGAGGATGCTTTCATATCAATATGATCAATTATGGCTTTGTTATTCTTAAGAAGAAGATTTTTAAAGAATTTTCTATATATTTCTATGTAAAACTTTGGTCGGCCATTGTGGCCCCGTCCTACCCCCCCGGGGTCATGATTTGAACAAACTTGACTCTACACTACCTGAGGATGCTTTCACATAAATATGATCAATTATGGCTTTGTTATTCTTGAGAAGAAGATTTTTAAAGAATTTTCCTATATATTTCTATGTAAAACTTTGGTCGGCCATTGTGGCCCCGTCCTACCCCCAGGGGTCATGATTTGAACAAACTTGAATCAACACTACCTGAGGATGCTTTCATATAAGTATGATCAATTATGGCTTTGTTATTCTTGAGAAGAAGATTTAAAAAGAATCTTCCTATATATTTCTATGTAAAACTTTGGTCGGCCATTGTGACCCCGCCCTACCCCCAGGGGTCATGATTTGAACAAACTTGAATCTACACTACCTGAGGATGCTTTCAAATAAATATGATCAATTATGGCTTTGTGATTCTTGAGAAGAAGATTTTTAAAGAATTTTCTTATATATTTCTATGTAAAACTTTGGTCGGCCATTGTGGCCCCTGTACAAAATGTTCCGCCTGGAAAATAGGGGGAATTGAGGCGTACTTGGAGAGGGAATTCCGCGCGTCAGTTTGTCTCTCTACATATATGGTCATACAAAGGTTCCGGGCATAAACTAAGTGGAAATGGGCAGGAATTTGAGGCGAAAAATGCAAATGAGCTACGCCCGGAAAAATAAATGATGCCCGTAAAAAAATTACGCCTGGAAACTAAAATGACGCCTGGAATAGAATTACGCCTGGAATGTCCTTATTATTAAGGTCTTCCGTCTTCACGGAAGACCTTATAGTTATTGCTCTGTTTCTTATTATTATTATTATTATTATTTTTCTGACACGATTTCTCGACAACTACTGGATAGAATTACATGAAATTTTCAAGAAAGATGTGTTGTAAGATACTCTTGAAAGTTCCAAGACAGTTTTTGAAAGTTCCTCTCTGGTGCCAAGTTTTGGACCATTTTCCTGATTTTAAAACGACATTTTGTCCACGATTAAACTCAAAAACGGTAAAAGATATCAATGTGAAACTTTCAGAGTTTATAGATGATGATCAATACTTTCCAGGACGCAACTTTTCGTTCGTCGTCAGTACTTCCTGTCGCTACCGGAAGCCAATTCAAAAAGGCCAAATTTTCAACTTTCTTTGTTTTTCAATATTTTTCATTTATTTTTGGAATATTAATAGAGACACTTCTATTGATGCTTACTATATAAGTTGTTTTAATATTGGTTAATCTGAACTCTAGATATTAATATTTGAAAATCTGAAGCGGGCCCAAGATGGCGGCTGTCTCTGTCAACTCCGACATTTCGCGAGTAGGGGCTTATGGGGGCAGCTGAGCGTTTGATTAAACCATTCTGACATAAGGATACATGAAATGCAAAAAAACTACTTGGACTCTCACGTAGTAGTACGTAGCAATTCAGTGTCAATCTTAAAAAACTTAATTTACGTTTCACTGCTTTAGTGTTACTGGACTAGATACGATATGTAATGTGTACAATGTGTTAAATATACTTTCCTAACGCCGAAATAAAATAAAGGTGATAAGAATGTTTTATTTAATTAATTTCATTGAAGCTATTGCACCTCTTTAATAGATCAGTAAAAAGAAAAGGTGCGAATATTTACGCTTAAAGCAGTATTCCCAATAGCTAAATGGTTCGCGCGTTGGGGAGAAAAGAGAAAAAAAATGCGCATTCACGTTGGCGACCTGGATTCACTCCTTCTTGTGATCAAAATTTTGAATCACTTTTTAGTTCGATTTTACAAGTTTTTTTTTCCTGAATTGGACGGAAGACCTCTCGTTGCTCGCAACGAGATCGTATCTAGTTATATAATACTATGTGACCTAAAAACCTATATATTTACCATGTTAACAAAGAAAAAAATAAGATTATGATTTACAATGTTAAAGCTTAAAATTTAGCTTTTTGAACTGTAAGAAAACATATAAAGGCAGGTCATTTAACATAGTATAGAAATGTAACATAATTTTGTGTAAGGGACACTAAAACACCACCATGATTGTGTATTTAGAATTAAACAAACTTTTTACATGCAATACCGGTACATTTTATCACTTCAATAATCATTTTGAAACATTTTAGTTCTAACTCATACAGTTTTTAGCTCTACTGGTCAGAGACCAGAAGAGCTTATGCGATAGTAATGCGTCCGGCGTCCGTCCGTCTGTCCGTCTGTCTGTCCGTCTGTCTGTAAACAATTTTTCAAATTGCTACTCCTCCTACAGTTTTGATCTGATTTCAATATAACTTGACACACAAGTAGACTACACTAAGATACATAATTCTGTGTATCGGTTTTTGATTTCGATGAACGGTGTTGCCGTGGTTACTAAAAATAGAAATTTCTGTGAAATTCTTTTAAAATGCTACTCCTCCTACAATTTTGGTCTGATTTCAATATAACTTGACAAACAAGTAGAAAACGCTAAGATACATAATTCTATATATCGGTTTTTGATATCAATGAACGGTGTTGCCGTGGTTACTAAAAAAGAATTTCTGTGAAATACTTTTAAAATGCTACTTATACAGTTTTGGTCTGATTTCAATATAACTTGACAAACAAGTAGACTACACTAAGATACATAGTTCTGTGTATCGGTTTGTGATTTCGATGAATGGTGTTGCCGTGGTTACTAAAAATAGAAATTTCTGTGAAATTCTTTCAAAATGCTACTCCTCCTACAGTTTTGGTCTGATTTCAGTATAACTTGGCGCACAAGTAGACTACACTAAGATACATAAATCTATGTATTGGTTTTTGATTTCGATGAACGGTGTTGCCGTGGTTACTAAAAATAGAAATATCTGTAAAATTGTTTCAAAATGCTACTCCTCCTACAGTTTTGGTCTGATTTCAATATAACTTGGCACACAAGTAGAATACACTAAGATACATAATTCTGTGTATCGAATTTTAATTTCGATGAACGGTGTTGCTGTGGTTAGTAAAAATAGAAATGTCTGTAAAATTGTTTCAAAATGCTACTCTTCTACAGTTTTGGTCTGATTTCAGTATAACTTGGCGCACAAGTAGACTACACTAAGATACATAAATCTATGTATTGGTTTTTGATTTCGATGAACGGTGTTGCCGTGGTTACTAAAAATAGAAATATCTGTAAAATTGTTTCAAAATGCTACTCCTCCTACAGTTTTGGTCTGATTTCAATATAACTTGGCACACAAGTAGAATACACTAAGATACATAATTCTGTGTATCGAATTTTAATTTCGATGAACGGTGTTGCTGTGGTTATTAAAAATAGAAATGTCTGTAAAATTGTTTCAAAATGCTACTCTTCTACAGTTTTGGTCTGATTTCAATCTAACTTAGCACACAAGTAGACTACAGTAAGAACATAAAGAGACTTTGTCAATGATCATTATTCTACTTATTGCTGTTGTAAAGTTTCAAATCCCAGCTGCTTAAGTACTTTACTCTTCCTTTGCTATAAGTTCAAACCAGTAGAGCTTCAGTCTCGACAGAGACTTCTGGTTTCATTTACAAGTTAAGTTAATGTCAGTTCAAGACTCACTGCAGCCTCTATCAGACTGTGTGCAAGGAAACTCAAATATAATTTTGAGTGAACAAGTTATAACTATATCATTGTACATTATCATAATCAAATTTACTCAAATAGGTATTAATTATCACACCTACCAGCAGATACTGTGTCATCCATAAGAAGTGTAAAAGCCTTAACATTGATATATCTGCATTTCTTGTTTCACTCACACTAAACTCCCTCCTTCATGATCAAATTCAAACTTAACCCCCTATCTGAAATGACCCTTTGATAATTGATAATTAAATTGACCAATCAGAGGCCTTTACTTCTCTTGAAAGTTCCAGGCATAATTTTTCTTTCCATTTTCCTGCCATTTTATGCCTGGAAAATCTGAACTTGTCAATTGACGCCCGGAATTTAGAAATGACGTCTGTAAGACGTCTTCTACTGAGGCGTAACTTTTCGAAAATTCCATCTCCGCCTCAAGTACGCCCGGAATTTGCCAATTTCTGCTCAATTCCACCCAAATTCCAGGCGGAATCCGCCTTTAAAATTCATACAGGCCCCGCCTTAACCCAGGGGGTCATGATTTGAACAAACTTGAATCTATACTATCTGAGGATGCTTTCATAAAAATATGATCAATTATGGCTTTGTTATTCTTGAGAAGAAGATTTTTAAAGAATTTTCCTATATATTTCTATGTAAAACTTTGGTCGGCCATTGTGGCCCCGCCCTACCTCCGGGGGTCATGATTTGAACAAATTTGAATCTACACTACCTGAGGATGTTTCCCCAAAAGTTTCATCTTTCCTGGCTCAGTGGTTCTTGAGAAGATTTTTAAAACATACCATAAAATTCTCATTAATTCCCAATTATCTCCCCTTGAATGAGGGCATGGCCCTTCATTTGAACAAACTTGAATCCCCTTCACCCAAGGATGCTCTGTGGCAAGTTTGGTTGAAATTGGCCCAGCGGTTCTTGAGAAGAAGTCGAAAATGTGAAAAGTTTACAACGACGATGACGACAACGACGACGACAGACAACGGACAAATTGTGATCAGAAAAGCTCACTTGAGCCTTTGGCTCAGGTGAGCTAAAAATGAAGATACTCACTACAACTTGGTGATTGAATAGTATTTACATCTGTTCTCAATGGAAAATGGGTGGCTGTTTTATCTGAATTGGAGTTTTCTCTTTGGAATTCTGTGAAAATTACAAAGACAGAACTTTGTGATTCTTTGAATTTGCAAGTAAAGTGTAAGGAAGAATTGAGTAAAATGATAAAAGTTTGTAAAACAGATCTCTCCTTTGATTTTAAACCCTATAACAATGTTCATCACAATTTTTGTTTTAATTTGGATTCAATTACCCCCTTTCAAGCATGGATCCTTTGAATCTTCTCCTCTTGATCCCTTGTCATGACTCTGGCTCTGAGAAAGAGCTTGAAGTCTCCTGTGTTTTCTTTCATAGGTTTGCTCTTGTTTCCTTTTCCGCTTACTCTCACAATAATATAACTGATTCTTCAACCCCAGAGCAGATTTACTATTATCATCATCAGCTGGAATCAAAACATTGCTTACCTGCAGAACTATAGCACTCTGGTTGTCAGACTCTTTGGACAGACAAATCAAAGAACTACTGATCAAAATAAGCCTTGTTTAAAATCTTCAATGCATAACCAAGTTTTTTTTGTTGCAAACGTTGAGTTTTATTTTTTGTATTATAGCATTATATCCCACACAGCATTGGGACAGCATTTGTATCTGTTAATTTTACTCCTAATCTTGTTAAATCATTTACTTTTAAATGGTTCCAAACAACCCTATATGTGAGCTGCCATAGAATATCTGACAGTATAAAAACTCCTCAACTGGAATGACATCCATAAAGCACTAAGCTTAATTACCAGTAAGTTATATGATTTTAATACAGGTATTAGGCGAAACTAGAAAATTGCAAATGTGTGTTGCTTTTTTTTAAGTATATGTCAATGTGCTTAAAAAAACAACAACTCTTAAAAGTGCCTAACACCAACAGCTTACCTAAATAGGGTAAGGCAAATGTGTGCCCCTCCCGTCATAAAATAATAAAAAAGTTACACATCAATTAATAAACAAGCACTTACCGTGGATGGAAACTGGAGTAAACAGTCAAAACAAGTGGAAATATATTTTTAAAAAAGTCCTAAGGTTTAAGATGCTTACCACCATCTGATTGATTCTTCCAAATCCTTTGTTTCTGATTACTTCCCTTGAATTTGCATGCAGTGTTTATCCTCTCCTCTGAGGTGAGGGGAATCAGTAGATCGGCCTCCTGTATGGCCTCCGTCACAGAGCTCTTTCTGTAGTTCTCCAGCTTGGAGCATTTTGTATGCATAGCCAGCCTCAACCTCTTTCTCTTTTTCTTGTTTTTTCTCACATTCTTCATGTTCTTAAAAGAAGAAAAGTCCCTTGCCTGCAATTGTAACTTGATTTGTCTGCAATTACTTTTTCTAATAATAGGGACTCTGAATTAATTTAAACATCCTCTCATGCATTCATGATCTTCAAAACAGCTTTCTATGGGCTTTTGGTAATTAAACAATTCAAAATGATTCATAGTTTTATATGTCTCTTGTGGGAATTTTTCAGAAGAAAGATACATCAAAGATGAAATTGAAATCCAGATTTTTCCTTTTAAAATACGCAAACTTTAAAGCTTAATATTTTGATGCATCGTTTTTGTAAATTGGGATCCAATCAGACAAATTTTAGGCCCTTTACTGTAAGTTGTTTTAATTCCACAGTGTTAAAATTTCATGATATCTCAAAAATTAACATTTGCGATGGTTTTAAATTCACGCTGCAAGAAACTAATTCAAATTTTGTATAAGCATTTAAACGTTTTAAAAAACTAGTACATGTAATAGCATTCACTATAGGTTTAATTTCATGGAAAAATGATAAATCGCGAACATAGCGAAATTAAAACCATCGTGATTATTTGCCAATATACAGTAATCAAAACTTCAAACCTCTCCTGTACCAGACCTGCCAAGTGACCCGCATTCGGTGGGTCACACCCGCAAAATTGACCTCTCACCCCCCACTCATAATGACCCGCGGCGTGTCATTGTTTTCACCCGCAAAATCGATCATCCCAATTTTTTGACCCAATATTAATTAAGCATGTTTGTCTCAACAAGAAAGATCTGAAATTCAAATTCATCCTAAAATTTCCGATTTGTGTTTTATAAATCGGATATGAACATCTTGTTTATTCAATGCACACAGATTAGTATCTTTGTTTGCCGAGGTGTTAAAAAAACTGTTAATTAGCCACAGGAAATCACTTCACGCTTGATCGCAGACTGACACAGCTGTACAGGTAATATGCCTGGAGCATTTAGGGGATTATACGTAACCATTTGAAGGGGTATATGCATGGTGAACCACATAGATTTAGAGGTTAATTAAATATCATTTTATTAAAAACAGAAATTAATTAATTAAATACAATGATATGATAAACAATAAGATTACACTTACTGCATTTACTTCAAAAGTGAAGAAATTATCCCAGACTGACATAAATACAATTCCAACTGACATCTATTAGTTAAATATCCTTTAAATAGAGCAAAAAGACACATTGACTTAGCTCATGACCATGAATCCCTCCAATTTAATATTCAAATAATTTAAGGAAGTTATGATTGAGCATGCTCAGTAAAAAGCCGTAAGATATAAATAAATAGTTTGAAGCAAAACCCGCCTGAGTTAAAAACCGTCTCCCTGGGACACGGATTCCGTGTCTCCACACTGTTTCTGTGAGTGAAGATTCCTAACATTCAGACACGGAAGCCGTGTCCATGTCTTGGACATGCAGAACCCTTGCGGCTTTTTAAAAACCTGTGCGGATTCTGTGTCTTAGCCCTGCCCAAGCCGTGCCTATTCCGCCTCCAACTTTCGTACGGACTGCCCCCCTCTTTCTCTCTCTCACCTTGACGAGACTGGTTCCCTGTTCCTGTTGAATTTCTTCCTTATGACCATACAGTGTGACTTTGTTTGCTGGTATCCAGGCATGACAGTGAACTCCCCCCAGGTACTCTACATGATATCTAAAGGGGTCCCCATCCCTGTCCACTTCATAGTGAAAGTCATACTCAGGATCGTTTGTAATGATAGCAGGCCACCTTAATAAAAGATAAATTTATACTCAGCATCATTTGCAATGATAGCTTTAATAAGCCATTACCTTTAAAAAATTCAGGTTAAATCTTAATCTTCAAATGCTCTTTTTTTTTGCCCTTTCTCAACCCAGGAAGAAAAATTGCTTTGATAGGAAAGTGACATATGATTGATTGTTTTCCCTGAAAATTCAACATCAATTCTGTGTGCTATTAATAAAAATAAATGCTAATTTCTGGAGGTTAAGCATTTTGAGTTGGGTCTTTTAGCCAGCAAGTCAAAAGAAAGTAACCAAACAATTTTTAAAAGATGGTCTTAGATTACTGAAAATCAATTTTAAACTCTCTTGAGCTGCACTGACTTAGAGAAAAAAATTATCATCAGGTTAAATCACTGTCTAGATAATTTTAGATATGTATTATAAAGACCTATGTTAAGTTGTCTAGACAGTGATTTAACCTAATGATAATTATATGTATATAATGTATTATATATACCTTTATAACGTTTGTAGTTAGAATTAAACTATGCTCATAGTGTACATTTCCACATAATCTGGAAATTTAAATTAATCATGTTTAAATCAGACTACACAGACAACACAGTTAGAATTTGTTAAATTGGATGTCTGAATCTCTGCATCAGTTGGTGCTCAAGACCTGGATACTTTAAAAACATAGTCAAGCACCAGACCCTAAGAGCTGGCCTAATCTAAAGATTTGGTAAAACATATACACGTATAAATGTTATATGTACCTACAGTATCCTGAGGTCTTGGCCCAGACCAGAGTGCCCACTGACAGGCAGGACATGATGTACTTAAAGCCTAACTTCTTAGCCAGTCTGTCATAGGCTGTGTAATCTTCTTCTACAGCTTCACAGCTAAAAAGATCAAGATTGTTTTGACTGATCCACATTATTTTATAATTAATCATGAAATTGTAGTGAGGAATGAAGGGGGGGGGGGGGGGTTAATATAACAGAATTCTTCAATCAGTGTCAAGTGATTATACCCTGAACAGTGACTGAAGTCCTGCCCTTTATATAGGGGTCTGCAGATATAGAGAGAATTCGATCAAATATGGTGGAAACATTCCTTTTATGAATTGTGTTCAGCTTTAACTAAGCCTGTAACAAATGTGTTTACATGAAACATCCATTAAAAAACTGATAAAAAACACAACCCATACGGAAAAAAAGGGCAAACAAACTACTATAACAAATTACTAACAAACCACTATGGTTTGAAAGTAGTTTAATAGTATAGCAAATCACATGCAAATGAGCTAACAAACTATACTCTAACAAACTACTATCAAACCACTCTTAACAAACTACTGTCAAACCACTCTAACAAACTACTATCAAACCACTCTAACAAACTACTATCAAACCATTCTAACAAACTACTATCAAACCACTCTAACAAACTACTATCAAACCACTCTAACAAACTACTAACAAATCACTGGTAACAGATCCATCAGCAAAACACTAGATTTGAATTTTCCTTTACAAATCCACAAGTCTTTGAAAACACCTAAAACAGTCATATTTTGAAATATTCAACAAGTCCTGTTTCCGAGTATTTTAAATTCCAGGATTCACAAGTTTAGCCAATGCAAGTGCAACATTCCAACATGTTCACTTTTGTTTAGGAGATGCAATTCCAAGTCAATGTCCATGTACTTATCACATATTCTCCCTCATGTTGTGCACATCTTCATAGTATTTTCACCAAAAAATGTTCTTCAAGCTGACATTTAAATATTCCCTGCTTCATCTGGCATGGAAAATTCTGCAATATTTCCTTTTTTCTGGCATTATTGCAACTTTGAAAGACATCTTTTTCGTCTTATTTTCAAGTATACTTCCAATAATCCAATGCATAGCTGATCTAAACTAGTAATGGAATTATAGGTCAATCTGAAAATAAAGAAAAACCCTAAGCTAGTAAAAACCATACACATCCACATCCACAGAGGGTTATTCCAGCCTTTTTTAGGTAAAAAGGAACTTCATGACATGCATTAAATACCTCTTCTGTATCCAGATCCATCTTTTAATAGTGTTAATTGCTGCTTTTTCCAGTCAGGAATCTTATAGAATGATACTAACAATTTGAATGTCCCTTCACCATTTCCTTTGTTTCTAACCTGCTTGGTGGTTTGAAAATTTGGCGCAAATAGGCTAACACCGGATGTAAAGATTAAGCTGTTCTTGGAAACTTCAACAATTCTAGATAATTCAACCCTAAACATGTCTGTAAAGTAATTTCCCATGTGGTTAGATGCAAATGCTATACTAATAAAACACTGTTGCAAGATACCAAGTCTAACAAACTATAAAGAAATCACAATCAGTAGAAATGAAAGACTAACAAACCACTGCAGCTATTTTTAGAAACAGTGGTTTGTTTGTGTTTCATTAAATGCTATACTATCAAACTACTTTAACAAACCACAAAAATATAGTTTGTTGGTAGTTTGTTGATGGTTTAATAGTAGTTTGTTAAAAATCTTTTCCGTTTGGGAAACTGCAAGTTTATAAGTGTATTCAATTGTAACATCATAACAGTTTCATACTCATGCATTTTCTATCCAGCTCGATCTCTCGCAAAATCTTTCACCATGGTCACCATTCTTTCATTTTAATCCAACTCAGACAAATTCCACAGCTCTGGACCTAGCTCACATACCTGTTGTATTCTCCGTCAAAGTTCAGATGACAGTGCCCATAGCAAAAAGAAATGGCATTTTTCCATTTTATCTCCATTCATTCAGCATTTTTTTTGCCATTTTTCATTTCAAAACCATTTTTCCTACATTTCTCTATCTTTCAATTTTCCAAAACCATTTTTTCAGAACCATTTAAAAACCATTTCTGTTAGAAAATGCTTTTTAAATGATCAACATGCAGCATTTTCTTTCCATTTATTTGAGTAAATGGAAAAGAAATGCTAGTTTGGTGATCCAACTTGCTTGAGTGGACCATTTTTCTCCCATTTATTTTCTGAGAAATGGAGAATTGAAAAAAATGGTAAGCTTTAGATAGATTTGTTGGTGGTTAATTGATGCCATGTGCCAGGTTTTTATAATAGGGCACTGGATATCAGATTTCCTTCCATGCTCTGTAGTGACCGCCTTTTCTAGTAAGTTTGAATATTGGACAAGAGCACTTTGACCTAGCTGGTAGTGACTTTACATGGCTGAAGTTATTCTTCAAGGAGTATTTAGGTTTTTAGTGAATTTTGATGCTGACAAAACTGTACATTGATGGTGAAAGCAGAAAAAAGAATTACTAACTTCTTGGAGGATGATAATTATGTGACAGTTTTTTCATGTTCCCAACATTTGGGAAGTATAGGCAGAAGAAATGCAGCACATTTACCATACACAGAAAGGACCTTATTATTCTTTTTGAGTGGTACGTATAAAATTAATATGTACATATTTTTATTAATGTCATGCACAGTTACAGAAAAATGTTCTTTTTCCAAAAAAAACACATATAAAAGAATGCTCATTAAACATGCTGATGCAATAATCTATAAACCGATTAATCTTGTTTAAACTGGAAATACAAAACAATAAAAACTGGAGACCAACACCCTGAGGTTCAAATTGCGGAAGATTCTCACGCGTGGATACCGAAAGGTATTCAATAGGCTCTGTACTACCTAAAGTTATAAACTAAAAGATGTAAAACAGATCACCAACACTTCGTAAGAATGCAGCAGTAAATTTATTTTGTTTCAACTGGGTCAGACTTAGGGAACTTGGATTTATACTTTTGTAAATTCTTATTGATTAAACTTCAATTGTAAATTTTTTAAAATAATAATATTTTTTCATTTCCTTTAAATTTTAGAGTACTGCTTCCATATGGACATGATGGAGCACCAAAATGGACATGGGATTCAAAATATATATTTTAAAGATGGAGACAACCACAATTCAGATCAAATAAGGACAAAAACATTCTAGGATTCAAAACCATGCATATATGTGAAAAAATTAAGCAAGTGACCTCTGATTTGTGACTGACTCTACAGCAACTAAGAAAATGGATTTTTAAAGTGTTTATTCTTGCATATGGATTAATTAAGGACCCAGCTAAATTTTCCATTTTTCAATTATAAATAAAATGTGTTAAAAATGGATATTAAATGGCTAAAACAAAAACCATTTATTTTCCATTTTTTATCTCATTTGCATAAATGGTTTTGGAATGGTTAATTTGCATGTTACAGGGCCCAAAAAAATGGAGTTTGAATGGGGTTTGAATGGAGTTTGAATGGAGATAAAATGAAAAATGGTTTTTAAATGGTCATCACTTCTGTTGAGAATTCTTGAAAGATTTGATGAAATAAAATGGCTTCTGAATGGTCTTTAAATGGTCAGAAAAGAAATGGATTTTAAATGGTATCTAAATGGATTTCATTTTGATAAGGGTGGCACTATATTTCTATTAATCTTCATGTATGAGCTCACCTTGTCCTATTGTATTCTGGGTCATATAGTTCATTAGCTGCAGATCTGTACCATTATGGTTCTATATACATGTACTTGTCTTTTACCATAATGCTACAGATCCTGTAATGCAAACAAGAGGCCCATGGGCCACATCGCTCACCTGAGTAACTTGGGTGAAGCAGATCTTTAGCAAATTTCCCCTCTTGCTATACCTATCGTGCCCCCCTGCAGAGTTTCCGAAAACCAAATATTTCTATCAGTCATTCGGACTGATGACTTAATGTGTTCTACCAGTCCGAAGCATATTCTATCAGTCCGAATAAATTTTAAAATATACAGTGTATATTTTATGTCAGATGTAATTCAAAGAAAATTGCATTGAATATGTAAAAATATTTGTGTCTCACAAACACTGATTGTGATACCAGGGTTATGCAGCCATAATTAATTCAAGCATGGCACCAGCTCACACAGGATTGTGGCAGCAATAAAGTCACTAGCCCCAAGTAAATGTTGGGGGAAAGAAACAACTAATTATAAAAAAGGTTAATTCTTGAAAAAGAAGACTTCTCAAGGTTTCTAGAATTCTTTTTAAAATTTAAAGTTTATATATATAATTCTCACTTGTAAAATTGAATCATATATATAAATAGCAGTTATGATAGAAATTCAAAATGAAAAGAAATTTTAAAAATCATCTTTACATTTTCTCAGGGGCATTGTACTTCATGACCTATATACCGCATGTGTTTACCAATAACAGAGGAATGGAGCCCGTACCAAACATTCTAACAAATGCTCATGAGCAGCTCATGAGACTCACATGAGAATCAAGTAAGAATTGTATGTTAATTAGGTAGAATTGGATTTTGCTCATGTGCAGATTGTTAGTCTCTGTTAGGGAGGAAAATACTAACCAAAATGCACATGTGCAAAATTATGCTCACCTCAATGCTCATGAGCAAAAGTCTATTCAATTTGCTCACCTAAGAAGAGCCTAATTTAAGATATAGCATTGGTAGTGATTTTTCTAAGTTCAGTTTTCTCACATGAGCAAGAGGTGAGCAAGAGGTGAGGAAATTGGACATAGTCAAAATTCAGTATTACAAGTAGAACCAAAACCAAAGATTTACAAGTCTCAATTCCTCACCTGAGGCTCACGTGAGGAAATACAATACTCTGACACTCTATGTGGTCCAAGCTTTCCCAAGCCTTTATTACAAATTGACCATGTGTTAAGTGTTAACACTTCCTGATGATAGCATCGCAAATGATTGGGGACCAGGCAGGAATATCTTAATTTCTTGAGCTTCTAATCTTCATCTTCCATCAATCTGAAAATGCTTTCCTCTACTTAAACAACCTGTTGTGTCCCCCACTGTTACTTAAGGTGGGGCAGTATCCAATGAGGAGAGCCAGTTAGGATTTGTGCGCCTTCTAAGACCAGTTCAAAATTTCAATACAAAATGTTTGTGAGGGACATTGAAAGTATATGGATTAATACAGTGAAGAACTGAAATATGCTTTTGGAATTACATGTCATCACCATATTGAACTAGATGCCAATCTTTAAATGTTACAAATGTATCCAGTATGTCCATGGATGAGGAAATGATTAAAGATCAATTAGATATACCATGGTGCAGCCACAATGAAGGAAAATTTCAAAGATATGCTGATCTGAGAGTAGGGTAAGTGCTTTGAAATTTATTATCCCCCCTCTCATTTCAGATATTACTAATTAAAAAAAATGTTTATATGTTAATTATCAGTGTATTTAAGTTTGATGTATTTAATGCAGAATGTTATCAGGAATTACAGTTGAATTAAGAACTATAATTATGGTAAGAACAGATTAGGTCAGAGTGTACAATTGACTGCCTCAGTGTGGAATTCTATGAATTACAAGTATTTAAGTTGCTAATAAAATATTGATGCATAATGATTTTTCTATTGACTGGCTTTTCATGACCAACAGAACCTTGAAAACATACTAACTTATTATAACTTTAAATTTTTTGCAGATAAAAGTTGGAATCAAAGGATCTGCAGATTAATCACGTACCCTAGCTGTTCTTGCATACATGACGGAGTTCTGATGTTGGCACTCATTTAAAGGAAAAAAAAGGAAATGCAAGGAAAAAGAATGGAACAGGATGAATTGATTATGATTCTTATGACCACTGGATTATTATTTTAAACCCAAGTATGACTGCCACTCATAAATTCAGCAAAGGCAGAAACATCTACTTAGCCTCCAAGACAACTTAAAACCATCTAGTACTAGTGCAGTCAAAAATGTTAATTGACTGGGCATTTACATTGAATGTTCTATGTTAATCTACTGGAAATGGAACTATTGGATAATAATACCTTGATTGATGTGTACTGTACATAATTATAATAATTCAGTTTAAATTTCTATGTCATTTTAAGTTTAAAAAGATGAAGTTCACTGAACATAATTATGCATGCATCTATTTACATGTACATGTTGCTCAAGAGTATTTAGAATGTAATTAATGAATCACATTTTAGAATTACATAATTATATGTTTGTAATCTGAATTTTGTTCTATTGTTGCTTGTTCCAAGTGAGCAATTGTTGCACATGAGTCTCATGAGCCTCATGAGACTCATGTGAGCAATATTCTAGGTGAGCAAAATGATTCCTCACGTGAGCAAAAAATGCTAATGTGCAGAACCCTGCTCACGTGAGCATTTCACCTAATTTGCATGTTAAATTGCACATGAGACTCACGTGAGCAACTCAGGTGAGGAAATCTGGTTAGTCCTCACGTGAGCTGCTCATGAGCAAATTGTGAGAATGGTTTGGTATGGGAGGAAATTCAGAATAGGAAAAAACGATCGTTTTTGGAAGTAAATAAGTCAAGTAGAAGTACAAAATGGGTAAGATTTTGGATACATGTATTTACAAAGAATAGGAGCTTGCTGCATTGAAAATTTTCATTTATGAAGATATTGCAATAGATAAGAGTACAATAAATTACGGTGCCAGACAACTCACCGAAAGACAGGTCACCGACAAAAGTGAAATTCGCCGAATAGACAATTCACCGACAATAGTGTCGGTGAGTAGAAATTCACGGACAATGTTTTTATGATAATTGTTAGATGAATAGATGTCGTGTTAAGTATTCAGATATAATAAACATAATCAAAGATTTATTTAAAAACATGTTTTTCTTTGTCTTTTTTGTACATCCATCATTGTTGGTCTAGCGCATACAGATTGCTTCTCGTGAATCCAAGCAAGGTCATAGGTTGGCAATATTGTTTGAAGTATTTGATTTAATAAGGAAAAGATTTGAAAATGAATAAAAACGTTTATTCACATACACGATTTTCTCTAAATATTTGTTAAATTCCGATGTTTTATATATTCGGTCGATGATGTGTCTGTCCATGACCCTTCGTTCGGTGACTTGTCATGTCGGCGGGTTTTATAGTGTCGGTGAAAAAAGTGCCGGCGAGTTGTCGTTCGGTGAGCTGTCTTTCGGCCACCTGTCATAGACCCATAAATTAATCAGGACAAGCCCTCACCACAATCGGTCACACGGACCGGTACTGTAGCGAATTTCATCGGACATTTCGATTTTCTATCGGTTTTGCCGGTAGGACCGATAGTTTTCGGAAACTCTGCCCCTGCCCCCTCCCCTTACATGATTTTAATACTTAAGAATCTACACTACCCAAGAATGCTTCCACATAACGTTCAGCTTTCCTGGCCCAGTGGTTCTTGAGAAGAAGATTTTTAAAGATTTGTTCTATATATTTCTCTGTAAAACTTGGATTCCCTATTGTGGCCCCACCCTACCCCCGGGGGTCATGATTTTAACAATTTAATATCTAAACTACCCAAGGATGTTTCCACGTAAGTTTCAGCTTTCTTGGCCCAGTGGTTCTTGAGAAGAAGATTTTTGAATGACCCCACCCTATTTTAGTATTTTCTTGATTATCTCCCCTTGGAAGGGGACTTGGCCACTCATTTTAACAATTTAAACTCCCCCTCACCTAAGGATGCTTTGTATCAAGTTTGGTTAAATTTGGTCCATTGGTTCTTGAGAAGAAGTCAAAAATGTGAAAAGTTTACAGACGGAAGGATGGACAGACGGACAGACGGACGACGGAAAAAATGTGATCAGAAAAGCTCACTTGAGCCTTCGGCTCAGGTGAGCTAAAAAAGTGCAGTTTACGGCGCAATATTTTTTTGCACACTTTTGAGGGGAATTTCTCCACTTTCCAGCATCGGTCAATCAACTATCTTTCACTCCCTAATTCTAGACACACTCTGTAGCCAATATGTATATTTTATCCACCTCCCATTCATTTACAGTTGTCTCTACAAGCATTAAACTCAACTGAAGTGAATTTTCAGCAATCTAACAAATAATTTTAATCAAGCGTCAGTTTATCACTTGTAGAGATGACTATAAACTCATGATAAAGGGTTGGGAGTGAAAGGTAGTTAATTGACCGATGTTGGAAAGGGAAGAAATCCTCCCCAAAAGTGCGCAAAAAATATTGCGCGGTAAACTGCACCTTTTTTGCATTATGGAATCTGTAGCATTATGGACAAGGACTAATATATAACACCATAACGCTACAGATCTCTGCTAATAGTTCATCTGACAAAACGGTGAACCACTCTGTGTCAATGCTGACATATGACCTTACCTATTGTATTTTGGGTCAGAGTTCATATGACAGAACCATTCTATGTCTTCTAAGCTTTCTCCCTCCGTTGAAGGGATTTTTCTCCACTTCTGGCAGTTTACATTGTCACACTGAATCCAGGTGAAGTTTTTCACCTTAAATAAAGAAAATTTGATATATAAATTCATTGTGATAAATCCGTTAAATTTTCATTTTATTGCCTTAAGTTAAACAGTTAAGATTTTATTTTACGTAGCAAAAATACCTGGCGGATTCTTTCTAACATATCAACTTCCTGCAAAGCTGTCCGCTGCGATGTCGGAGAAGAGGAAACGGATGAGTTCATCTTTCTAGCCTAAAACACGTTCTGATAAAATTTGCAGTTAGGCCTACATTAGAACACTGAATTCTAAAATATCATAAGTTCTGATAAAGTTCTGTCACTGGGTCTATAAAATACCAAATATATGCATATTATAGATACAAAAATATACCTGCTTTACCGGTATTTGTTCAAAAAACTTTCCCGAGAAAGCAGACGCTTTTCTTCATCAGTTACTCTCAAAAACTAATCAAAAATTTTGTAACCTTCAAATCTTATTTGAAATCACATAAGAATGAGTGTTATTTATTTTTGCAATCATCTGATAAAATTCATTATCAAAAAACATGAAGAATGGTTCTTACTTCTCCAAAATAAATATTGTATTTTTTGTTTGGAGATTATATTTCAAAAAAATTGAGGATCGGCAGTGCGTTTGTAAAGAAAGGAGAAGAAAGTAATTCCTTCAAAGCGCCCAAGTGATTAAACAAACAATCGCCATTATCTCGATTTTCAGCAGGTGGTTGTTTTGATTTAGTTGACATCGTTTGACCTGTGCCTTGAACAAGTGTGTCACGCACGTGTAAGTACCAAAACAGACCACTTCTACAACCATCAATGCCAATTAGAAAGTAACTTCTCCTTCCTCGCTTATTAAATCACTAATTAGTCAGACGTTTTCATCTGGTAAATCACTAACTGAGATAATTAACAGATACTTCATTTCTCTTGTAAATAATGGTATGTTTTAATATCCGTTGCATATTTATATTCTTATAATCTTATGAAGTAATTTTTGTGACTGTACAAAAGTGGAAAAACATATACAACATTATAAGCCGTGTTACAAGAAACATTTCTTACACTGAGATTGTTTTCTTCACTGTCATATATTGGTCTGTACATTGTCAACATTTGCTTTGAACTATGTTTTCATGCTTGATCAACAAATCATAAATAAGGTGCCACTGTAAGGGCAGATACTTATTCAGTTTTAATATAGACTGGCCTCAAATCTTCAATGCACTTAGTCCGAAATATCTGACGTTTTCCAGGCTTTTTTATGATTTTGATATTTTACATGCCAGGAAAACGTCAGAACTGGCGACATTATGTAAACTGGGAAATCGCCGCCTCCAACCGGAGGCGGCGTTATCGACTTGATTTTAGATACTTGTGAATCAAATTAAATTTCAGAGTCACATGTTATCAATAGTACAATAATTTTAGTACTTACCGATATCATTTTTATGGTTCATTTAAATATACATTCTGATGAAAACATTTTACAAGACTGTCGAGATTTTTCTTCATTTCGTGCATTTTAAAATCTTGCAAGTATTGGAACGAAATATGGAATGATATTTTCTTTTCATTGATATTGGTGAGTACTAGAGGCACTGTGCTATTGATAAATTCTGATTTCGCCATTTAGTTAGGTTTGCAAGTATAAAAAATGAACTCCGTTTGGAAACAGCGAAATTTCCAGTTTTCGTAATGGTGCCAGTTCTGACGTTTTCCTGGCATGTAAAATATCAAAATCGTAGAAAAGGCCTGGAAAACGTCAGATATTTCGGACTACAATCCACCTTATTTACATTTGGGACGTATAGACTGACTGACATCATATGATTTCGTATGTAATTATAAGTTGTGTTGCCAAAATGAAGTCTAAACAGTGCTAATTTCAATAAGGAAGTTTTCTACAATTTACCTGGCGTAATCCATTAAATCACAGTTATTTGATATTTTCGGGGAATTTCTTTTTACGTCGAGACCGTAGTTTGAGGCTGGGAGATGCAATATACATGATCTTTATATAAGTGCCACTTTTTTAAAATCGCATACATTACTCTGAGTGGGTTGTATAGCGGCTGTTCATAAAAATTTCTAATTTTTGCATTAAATCATGTTAATATGAGGCATTTTCATTTCAACAAAATTACGTAGGTTAAGGTAAGTTCACAACAAAATTACGTAGGTTAAGGTAAGTTCACAACAAAATTATGTAGGTTAAGGTAAGTTCACAACAAAATTATGTAGGTTAAGGTAAGTTCACAATAAAATTATTTAGGTCAGGTCAGCAGGTTAAAAGATGTGAATCTGTTAAATAGAAACAAGAGTAGATACATGTAGGTTCTTTTTTAGCCTAAGATTCACAATCGTATTTTGAAACACACACTCAAAAATGTGATTCAAATCCTCAAATGCTGATGATCTGGCATCATGGGCATTAATTGTGAAGTACACTTTAATGGAAACATATGATTGAATTATTATCCTGAAGATAAGGATTTATTCAAGGGTTTAAATCTTACTTGAAAGTCTATGCTATGACCAGGTTGACTACTAATTTTTGTAAATTCTTTGGTCCACATCAACATTTTCAGTTGCCCACAAATTAATATGCACCTTTAGAAAAATATACCTATTCAATATGGTTGGGGCTTTAACCAAACATAAACATATTCTATTAAATACATCAACAGTGAACGTCATTGGCATATGAAGTTTTTAAGTTGTCTTTAATTTAAAAAACGCAAAATAAATTAGGGTCATGACTTAATATACAAAATGACACAACTTTACTGTACAAGGTCTGGAGAAGAATATATAGAGACTTTATTATTTGGTTTCAGACTAGGAATAGACATAAGCTTTACTAAACTGAAAGGTGTAGTCCAGATCGTGTCTATAAATGAAAGCCTTAATCAAATGTTAAATGGTTTTTTATGATGTCCAGAAATTACCTGTTTGATGTGACATAACATTTCAGATGCTATGAAAAAAAATTTAAATTAGAGTTAATGTAAACCTTTTCAGGCAGGTTTGTTTGCTTAAAATAAAGAGGGATCAAATATTTCATCTGATTTTGTGTTTTCACCATGGAGAATATTACGTAACATATCGGCTTTTCATTGCCAGAATATTGAAAGGAAATTTAGCCATTGGACTTGCCGCATTATTTTCAATAATTATGATGCTGCGATAGGAACAGACTTCATTATAGTCACCGTATTTTCTTGCTAAAATCCGTGAGTTTTCACATGTCTCAACCTTGGTCATTGATTGGATTATTTTCCTCCTGACTTCATGCAAAAGCTGGGACGCCAAAAAAAGCCAAAAACTCCCAATCTTGTTTTGATGATCTCATTGATTCCTGTCAGTGTGGCTATGCGATAGTGGTGTACCCTTTGTCTTTTTTCGCTTGACGTCTTCCAGATAAGCTAATTTAAATGCACTCTGTTGACACATCTATTGGGTAGGACTAGTTTTTTACAGACTTTGACACCCTTTAATGCGCGCTCAATTAGCTTCAATAAATGACGTGCATGATTCGATAACTTATACGTGTGTGCCTGTTTAATTAACAAGGTAATGGATTATTAGAAGGGGATATTTTTATGATTTGTAAGAATTAATGATATTGGATAATGGATAATTATGAATTTTTCAATTTTTGAATATTTCAGTATTAAACACATGTTTAAATTTTATTCTTGTTTAAGATCAGTAATCATGGTAATGAACACATGTTCATATGTTGTAAGAACATGAAAAGTGGTTTATTTTATTTTCGTTCAACTAATGAGCAAAATTTTAACGTAGACATGTTGACAATAATGTAAGTAAACTTTGAAAATAACAAGAGGTTCTTGGATGTAATTATAATAATGATTGACGTCTATTCATTATTTTGTTCTCAAAAACATTAGTGTTTATCAAAACATGATTTCTATAAATTGTTTATGTGAATTATATAAAAATTTGCATTACTATGTCTAACAATGCTTAATGTGATAAATTTACACCATATGAATTATTTTTAGTAACATATTTTTAGCTCACCTTAGCTTAAAGCTCAAGTGAGCTTTTCTGATCACCCATTGTCCGTCTGTACATCCATCTGTAACTAAGCATCTAAAACAAAGCAAACTTGGGTGAAGGTAAGTTCAAATTGTTAAAATTAAGGGCCAATATCCTTGCAAGGGGAAATATTCAAGAAAAGACAAAAATAGGTTGGGGTCAACAAAAACTCTTCTGAAGAACCACTGGGCCAGAAAAACTGAAACTTATGTGGAAGCATCCTGGGGTAGTGTAGATTCTATGATTGTTCAAATCATGACCCCCTGGGTAGAGTGGGGCCACTATAGGGAATCAAGTTTTACATTGAAATATATAGGAAAAATCTTGAAAAATCTTCTGCTCAAGAACCACTGGCCCAAAAAACTGAAGCTTACATGGAATATACACACTGATGGTCTTCTTATCATT